TAATCCTTTCTAATGCTGGTTCCTACTCTATTAGAGTCTTTCTTTCTTTTGTGTCCCCAGAGTGTATCTCCAAGGTCTGTCTTATACTTATCAATCTCTTGGCTTACTTGCTCCAATTTGCCAGTTTCGTAAAGAGTTCTTTAAAAATTTTCACATAAAAAGAATTCCACGCTCCAAAAAATTTGTCCTCTCTTGTGTGTGTTTCTAGTTTCTCATTCGTTCTCATTTTTTTCCTATTTTTAGTCTTGCTCGATTCCTTTTTCTTTGCTATGCCTGTCATCGTTTGTGCCTGACACGTTTGCGCAAGATGAAAATATTTATATTTTCGTCTTCTGTTTTATTTAAATGTTGTATCATTTTGATTATTTGGTCGGGCTTAATATCTTATCTTATTTTATTATGGGTTTTGTTAGATGATCAAGCCAATTTCTTACTTTTTACGAAGCATCCTTTCTCTTTTTCTCTGGTTCTTTTCCTATTATCTTTTTATGTGAGTCGTTAGAATCCATTATTTCCGACTTGTTTCGTATGTTTAATATGGTTAATTACTATTAAACTGGGAATAAGCCACAATTAAAGATAAAAATACGTTTATTGACGTTTCAATTTCCACTTCGGAAATCGTTTTCAAAATACAAACAGTAAATTAAACAAATTTTGTTTTTTGTTACATAGTGAAAAATTCTTTTAAAAATTTAATTTTATCTGACTCATTTATATTGACAATTCAGACATACATTATGCATTTTAAAGTAGACGACTTTAAAATGATATTGCCAATATTGTTGAGTTGCGCTCCTGGGACGACTTTACTTATAAGATAGTTCATTCGATTACATGAAATCAACTTTAACTTGAGAATATCCGTCAGAAAAAAATCATAGCATGTAATTCGTCTTTTAAAAAGACAAACACATGACATGATGACAGTAAAATTCTCCTGTTAGTGATTCCATAGTAAATTATGTGGGTAAAACCAGGAAAAAAACCTCATAACTCATAATACTATCCCGATATTGTAAGTATTTGTTCGTGAATTTATTTTAACTTCAACAAACATCAAAATTCTGATTTTATATGTTACGTTATTAAAAAAAAACATAAATGATGTATCCTCTATATGTTACTGACTTACTAATACTGGTATTTTCTTATTAATAACTTCCTCTTTCAATATTGGTAACCAGATCCTACTACATTCTGCCGAGGAATTTGCGACACAATTGGCCCCATTTAGCATAATTAGAGCCACTTCTTTAATTTTTCTTTTTTTACCATCCGTTTCTTTTAGGACTACATTTGAATTATTCCATTGAACCCTATGTTCATTATCCCATGCGTGTTTACAGATTTGAGATCTATCAAATTCTCTATTTTTAATATAAGATTGATGTTCGCTTATTCTAACATTTAATGGCCTTGATGATTCACCTAAATAAAACTGATCGCATTCACAAGGTATTTTATAAATGCAATTCTTTGTCCTTTCTTGTTCATTGTTAGGTTTGGTTTTTGATAAAATAGATCTCAACGTGTTTGTTGTTTTGAACGTTGTTGAAATGTTGAAACATTTAAATTATTAGAAGAATTTTTCACTATGTAACAAAAAACAAAATTTGTTTAATTTACTGTTTGTATTTTGAGAACGATTTCCGAAGTGGAAATTGAAACGTCAATAAACGTTATTTTTATCTTTAATTGTGGCTTATTCCCAGTTTAATAGTAATTAATTTACAATGCCACAAGAAAATAGCTTCAGAACAATATGCTTTATATGATGACGCAGCGGGTAAAGAACCATGGAATCAACTTTTTCTTCTTCAAGTTCCACTCCTATCGGAGATTGGAAATCATTCTGGCAATTATAATTTTATTGGTTACTCGCCTGAATAGTTCAGTTGAACTGCATCCAAACCATTCACGGAGATTGCGTAGCCACGAGATTTTAAGTCTTCCTACGCTTCTTCTACCTTTGATTTTACCCTGCATTATATTCCTTAGTAGTTCGTACTTTTCACCTCTCATGATGTGCCCAAAGTATTCCAATTTCCTGATTTTTATGGAATTTAAAACTTTGCATTGTTTTCCTAGTTGTTCGAGACGTTGTTCGTTTGTTTTGCCATCCATCCATAATATTTTCAAAATACGTCGGTAACACCACATTTCGAATGCTTCTAGGTTTTTAATGTTGGATTTTTTAAGTGTCCAAGCTTCAACTCCATACAAAACGGTAGAGAAAATATAACATCGAAGCATTCTTATCAGGAGCGATATATTGATATCGCGATTACAAAAAAGTTTTCTCATTCTTTTTTTTTTTTAATTATTTACAGTTCGATGTTTTTTGTGCTTTTCCAATAGATAAAGGAAATTGTACTTATATATAATATTATCCTGATTTTTCTACTCACTTCAAGGGCAATTACACTTTCTTATTTTACATCACTCTGGCACTCATGAAACTTTTTAATTATTCGTAGTAATAATCATAAAATTTTGATAAAAATTACGAGCACTCATAAACACGTTTTACCAATTCTAATTAGAGATGGCATTTTTTTTCACTATTAAACTGTACTATCAACTTATGTGGAGTAACTAATTCTACTCTACCAGACGCAAATTTCTTCGAATGTCTCTCATGAAGTCCTGGACGGAAATCAGATCAATTTTTCATAGTTTTCGTAAATTCGCTGTCTTAATTATTCTTCATCCTGGACTTCCCAACCTCTATAATAAACCTTCCTATACAGTAAAGCCCAAAAATCCTGAAATCCTAAAGCCCAAAAAAAGATTGAACTCTAATGAAATGAAAGAAGTGCTCGGTTCCGACAAAATATGATATCGCCATTAGCATGATGTTCGTGGACAACTGTAGCAATTTAAAAATTAAGTTATCAATACAGCTCTGACTATTCAAAGCTTCAGCCCTCACTATTCTCACATAAGATCGAGTATTAGTTCCACACCCCTATTAGTCCCAAGCAATATTACCACACCCCTATTAAAAATTGCGCAGTGGACAAGGATCTTCTCTGCAAATTTCGCTTTATGTTTGTATCTAACATTTTCAGGGTATTCTGCTACGTTGTCCGTATAAAATTTATCGTTTCCTTTATCTTCGTATTACTTACAGCGAAATACTCTTCGTCATCTAAAATATTAATTTTTTCATTGGCAAATTGTAGCTATCTTAGTCGACGACAACGTCTTGGTATACGAATAAGCTGCTCTTAATAATATTTGGGGCACTTATATTGCTTTCGATATTTAAAACCATTACTCCTTAATTCCAACGATATCGTATTCTTAAAAGATTTGTATTGACGAGCCAGTCTCCTAGTTGACTGGCTTCTAAGCGATCCTCTGAGCTCTGTGCAATAAATGCACGTGGTCTTTCACCTTTTGAGGGAATCAGACATGACATTCCCTGTTGGCACTCTAGTGTTTTTCTATCAATGATTCTGCATGACATGTTTGCATTCTGGTATATACGACACGACAGTTTTCAGTTTTGGGTACCCACTCAACCAGCTTGTAGAAATGTTTTCTTATGTCTTATTTATACATTTAAAAAAAATATTCAACATAAATAAATCTCAATTGACAGTAAACAAATTTTTGTTTCTAAAGAAAACTTAATTTATTAAAAAATTATTTTGTTTTTGTTAATATTGTGACCCAATGAATTTTGCGCCAAAACTTTTAGGACATACTATACATACATAGTATTCCGCGTGTATTTTTTGGTTGACTTCTCTAATATTTAGATGGAACGCTGTTACTTCTGTTTTCGTCGGATAAGTTTTTTGTATCTCTTGGATCCAAGTGCTTGTGAAACTGCTGATACGCCTAAAGATGGATCAGTGGACCAGTAATTGGAAAGCTGAGGAAGTGTATGTATACGCATTATAATCATTTCTCCAATTAAAGCCTTCACTTCCTCTAGATTTGTATCTTGCCAATTATTAGATGGATCGGGTTGACTTGTCTTATTAGCCCTACTAGGCCAATTCTGCTTTGCATATAGATTAGTATCATAAACTATCGTATCGAGGAGATCTAAATAAAAAATTTTGGTGAATTAATCGATTTCTTTGTCTTCAATATTACAATCGTATGCAGAATTGGCATCTTTGGAAAAATCAAGTGGAAGTTTATCAAAGAAATTTGTATTTTGATCCCATTTCTCATTATTTTCTTTATCTTCACTATCTTCCGATAGAGATAGTTGAAAATGTAATGGAGATGTAGGGAGAAAAAAATTACCTCAATATTGAGCATGTGAAGATTCCAAACACTCTTTATTCACACCAGAAGAATCTGAACAGTTGTCTTACAAATTTTCAAGTTTTTGGAAAGCTCCTTCATCTTCTTCTTCTTCTGAATGTTTCTCATTGTCAGGTAAAGAAAATAAGTAAGTTAATGCAACTTCAGTATCTCTGGGGTTATCTAGATCTCACATTTCTTAAGTACAATAATAAAAATGAATAACGAGGATGGGCGGTGGGAAGCATATAACCCACATATAGATTAAGCATACATCAAATACCTTCTATTAACATTGTTATATTATGAATGTATAAATAAAAGTCACAAGAATAGAAAAATAATATTTAAAGCCTTAGCACTCACCTTAATTGTCGTGTAAATTATTTATTCACAACTACAACATCGCACAAAAAAACCGTCAAAACAGCGTATATTCAAACATCAGTATGAATGGTAATGCAAATATCTGCACCTCAGTTCCAAAGTAATTTTTTATAGATTTACTGATATTACTACTAGGTGACAGCAGCTCAAACGGTGAGAAAATCGATGTACACTGTCTGTAGGCGTGATATTATATGGTGGTAATTATACTTCCCCCTGTCTATGAAACGGTCAACACAAAAAAAAATTTAAGCCCAATTTGTTGCTAAGTTGTTAATCTGTTTTTCCTAAATGTTTTATAATAATATACAAGAAAAGTAATAGAAAATGCATTAAAAACTTACTGATTTTCAGAAATACGAAACATTTTAAGAATACTCGTTGTAGATTTACTATTATTCCGAATCTTTTTAATGTTTTCTGCTTTTATTTTTTTTATAAGTGTCCTTCTTTTATATTTTCTGTAAGCCATTTGAATGATTGAAGCTGCATGTATTTTCTTTTGTGTCCAATATTCCGAATCTACAGATAGCTTTTCTGTAGTACTTAACGTTGGAATTGTAGGAACGCTCATCATAGACTTCTAAAAATTATATGCTTAACAATATTTATAGTAATATTTATAGTATAAACGAGTATAAATGCTGTAATTTACTGGCTCTTTGAAAATATTATTATTACAAATTATTAGTGAAAGCCACGTGTACCCATACAATAATATAAATCAAACAAGTGACGGATCCACAAACTGGCTACTCAGATTTAGATTTTACAATGTTGTGACAACACCATTGTTTATAATTAATTTTCGTGTTATTTCAAGTTTAAAATTGATTTTCCTGAAATAAAGTTATAGACATATATTTTTTCAAAAAGAGTTGTTATAACTTATCATCCTAGTGTTTATAGCCTTTAAGGTAAGTACATAGCTTTAAGCTGCCGCCGTTTCCCGCAACCTAGCTTCCAACGCTTGCGATCTTTCCAGTCATCTACTTGTAGACCCCTATCTTCCATTGAACCTTTTACTTCTTGCCTCCACGATCTTCTTGGTCTTCCCTTTTTCCTGCGGTTAGGCGGTTGGTGGGGATCCACTGTAACATTCTCTTTGGCCATCGTTGATCATTTATCCTTTCTACATGGCCATACCATTTCAGCCTTTTGCATTCTATAGTTTCCAGGATGTCAATGTCTATGCCCATACGCTCTCTGATTTTAGTATTCCTTACTCTATCTCTTCTAGTGAGTTGGCAACATCTTCTCCAATAATTAATTTTCATTGCTTTTATTTTGCATGCGTCATTTTTATTTATTACCAAAGCTCTGAACCATATGTAGCAATGCTTTCTATGATACTTTTGTATATCCTAATTTTTGTGTTTCGGGTGATGTGGTTATTCCAAAGTATACTATTCAGTTGACGTATTGCTGAATTTCCTTGACCAATTCTAGTAGCTATTTCTTTTGTATTCCGACCATTGTTTGTAATGTTTACACCGAGATATTTATAGCTATCAGTATTTTGAATTTGTTTGCTTCCTAGTTCTAAGTGCTTTCCTTCACCTCCCACTACTTCGTACTCTGTTGTCTTGGTCATCAGCAAAATGCAAGCTGTACAGTGTATGGTCTCCAATTTTAACACCCATAGGTTCACATTTTCTTTTCGAAATATCCAAAACCCCCTTCAAATAAATCTTAAAGAGTGTAGGTGCAATGCAGCAGCCTTGGCAAAGTCCTTTGGTTACTTTTATCTTTCTTGTCACTTTTTGTCCAATCTTTATTACACCCGTCATATCATCGTACAACTCCCTTACAGCATTAATGTAAATCGGGGTGGAATATTCTGTCTTCTGCACTGCCATAGCTTGGCTAATGGGACACTGTCATACGCGTTTTGAAGATCAATAAATACCATGTGTGTCTCCATATTATGTTCCAAACGCTTTTCTATTGTTTGTTTTAGGCAGAACACATTGTCTATACAAGAACGACCAGTACGAAAGCCACTCTGATCTTCAGCGTCTTCCAACAATCTTCAATTCGGCTTTTAATTATCTTCCCGTAGACTCTACAGATTGAGTTAGTTACACTAAGCCCTCGGTAGTTCTTATAATCTTTTCTGTCGCCTTCTGTTCTTATGTTCGATTCTGTAGCGTTTATGCTCTTCTCCTCTCAAGAATAAATTAAAAGTATAAGCCAATAGCTAAAATAGTTTGTCAGGCCATATTTAATCAGTTCAATGGGTACTCCCCCGGTCCTGGAGCCTTTCCATTTTTCATAGCGTTGGCGTGTTTTTTAATTTCTTCTGGTGTTATTTCAGTTTCTTCGCGGTAGGAAATATCATATTTTTGGTAGCCAATATCTTGGAATTCTGTTCGATCTTCTGTCAGCATTTGTTCATAATATTCGACCCATAATTCTGGGGCTATTAGAGTTAACCTACTGCATTCTTTTCTATCTGTTCTACTACCTCTAATTGTTTTCCAGGCTTCTTTACTTCTTGCTGTACCCATAAAATTTTCTACGTTATCGCAGGCTTTATTCCACATCTTATTTTTGGCTTTACTTACCTCTTTTTTTACTTCTTTGTTTAAGCTGTTGTACTGTTGTCGATAGTAAGGGTCCTTTGTTGCTAGCCATTTGTTATACATATTCTTCTTCTTCCCCACAAGATCTTCTATTTCTTTATTCCACCATTCATTTCTATTTTTTATGCTATCCACTTCTCCAATAGCTTCCATTGCAGCTTCGTCAAGAGCTTTCATAATTTCGTTGTACGTATTAATTGGTGAGAAGTAACAAATATCGTGGAATTTCAGATTCAACCTCATTCAATACAGAAACTGGGTAGACTCATTTTCAAAACCTTGTAGATTATATCTCTTTGTTGAAATGTCTTGCAGTATCATTGAACTTTCGTTTTCTTTTTGTCGTTGGCTTCCTTTAAATGTAAATAGTAGTGACGCTTTAAGAAAATGGTGATCAGATCCACATTCCGCTCCTCGATGGACTCTAACGTTATTAACCTTTATTGTGGAGTTTTCTTTGCATATACAGTAATCGATTATTGATTTCAAATTCCTCGTTGGCTGAATCCATGTGAATTTATGAATATCCTTGTGCTGATAATATCCATTCATTAACTTTAAATTCATATGATCGCATAAACCTATTAATCTTTCACCGTTTTTATTTATTTTTTCTTCTCCAAATGGACCGACCACTTTGCTATTTACTTTTCTTCCGGTTCTAGCATTTAAGTCACCTAGTCGAACTACTTTCTTCCTAGTTCCAATACTCTCTACCACGTCCGTCAATTTGTCGTTTATCCTTTACCTCGTCCTTTTTATCTTCAGAAGGTGCATATGCGCCCACTACCACTATGTCACGTCCTTTTAGCTTCATCTCAACTTTTATTACCCTTTCGTTTATTTGTTCCCAGTTCTTAATATTCGGTGACAGCCTTTTCTTTATCAATATACTTACATCTGCTGCTGCTCTTCTGCCTTTTTCTACTCCACTGTAGAAATGAACAAAATCTTTAAACTCGTCTGTCCCTTTCCCTTTCTTTTTTGTTTGTGTAAGGACTGTTACATCTAATTGAAATCTCTTATTTTTTTTCAACACCTCATCAAGCTTAGTCCGAATACCTTGCACGTTCCATGAGAACTAAATATTGTCATAGAAAATTGTCATATAAGAAAATTTTAAACCAAGGCAAGGGTCAGAGGATATCCCGTACACAACAGATGATGAGATTATATCAACTCTAAAGGAGATGAAAATTAACAAGGCCCTGGTAAGGATAGCATTGAAATAGAATGAATAAAAGAAGAAGGACAAGAACTTATCAAAACCGTTAAAAACCTATCTTTAACAAATGTTTGTTTGAAGGAAAAAATCCATCACTGGTTAAATGTTAATATTTTTATAATGCAAAAAAGATGACATTACCGACATCGTAAATTATAGACTTATAAACTTGCTTAGATACTGTAATTCCAAGGTATTTTATTTCCATTACTTGTTCAATACTGATGCCATTAATTTCTATTTTACATCTGGTTGGTTCTTTGCTGACTATTATTGTTTTAGTTTTTTGAGATGAGATTGTCATACGTAGTAATATCTTTTACTCTTATGTTAAATCTGTGGACCAGTGTTTGCAGACTATCTTCGTCTTGGGCTATTAATATTGCATTATCTGGTAACAAAGTATTTTGAATTCTTTGTTTTCCATTCTGTATCCTCTTCATTTGTTATGATTTCATCCACGATTTAATTAAATCCTGTTCTTTAAAAGGAAAATTTAATGGTGCATTTATTTCTTATATTTCAATTACATTTCATGTCAACAACGTAATATACAACATAAACAAAATATGAAAACTAGTGTGACTGACTTTCAATAGTTATGTAATTAAAAGTTGAAATATCAACTGAAATTGATGACAAAAAAGCAATGTGAAATGTACTATCCAGGCTAATTTGATATAAAAATTTAGAGTTATAATATAGATCTTAAGTTCCTTAAGATCAATTACACACGCCTATAAAATTTGACCAACATTCGGACTCAGAGATCAGAATATACTTTTCAGAAGGTTTTTGTGCACTAAATTCAAATTGCCAAATTGGCTCTGGCTTCTGAGCTAGCCTAACCTAAAAGCACAAAAATAGCGGTTTTTGGCCGCTTTTTAAGGTTGTTATAATCATAATATAATGTTTCTTCCAGAAACTGTTATAACCATCTTAATGTATTGTCTCAATCCTTTAAATGATTTTACTCAGATATCTTCTTTTTTCGGTGAGATTGCATTGTTAAGTACAAACTACATATATGATTCTATAGTATAATAAAAAATATAAATTCAGAAATCCCAAACATATCTAACCAAACTAAAAATTAATTTTAAACCTACATACCACAAACCCAGCCAACCTCTCCCTTCAGTCCACCAGCAGGTACAACCACCTAACCATGGAATTCCCAAGATTAAGTGCTTATTGTATCATATCAAAATAAAATTACATAAATAATTATGTTTGCTGAACGGAACCATTTTACAAACCATTCCTTTTAATCCAGAAGCAGGAAAACCCACCTAACCTCAAAAGCCATAAGAATAATTGCTACTTTTTTTATTTAAAGGAAATTACGTATAGCAAGCCAGTTTATCTGTCAAACTAATACACCCTTAAACCAACCAACCCCTAGAAATTACCCTTTTTACTCCAAAAGCAGGCTAATCTACCGAATTCGGAAATCCTTAAGCAAGTGTGTTTACTTTTCAAACCACAATACTCTTAACACAATCAATTAGTCCACACGCAGGAAAACCCATCGCACCGACGAACCTACGAGATTAATTGCATTTTTTGGTATACCCATCCCTTTTAACTCACAAGCAAGAAAATTCATTTAAACCTGTAACTTGAAAGAATAATCGCAATATATATATATATTTATATATATATATATATATATATATATATATATATTATATATATATATTACAGGATCTAACATGTAAATACAATACACTTTGGAGACGGCTGTCGCCGTATTCCCTTCTCCTCCGCCAATCCTCCCGGTCCAAGGCATGCTCCTCTTCCAAACCTCTCGACTCCATCGCTCTTCTAATTCCTTCATTCCATGAGCGTCGAGGTCTACCTCTTTTTCTTCTTCCAGGGGCTTCCATCTGTGAAGTTTTTGGGCCAGCGTTCGTCAGTCATTCTCAATAGGTGTCCAAACCATTTTAAACCTCTTCTTTCTATTCTGTCAATGACCGTTTCTCTAGCATTCATGTTGTTTCTTATAGATTCGTTGCTCTTTCTTTCCAGCCTTGATGTTCTAGCACTTCTTCTCAAATCATCTATTTCAAGTGCCAATAATCTTCTCTTTAGGTCTGCATTAATTGTCTATACTTCAGAGCCATAACAAAGAACTGATTCAACCATGGTTTGTCCTATTATTTTTTTTTGTTCTTTTTGGAAATGTTGCGATCCCACCATAATGAGTTCAGACATCCTACAATTTTACGTCCCTGATTAATTCGGTGTTTAATTTCGGTTTCTCCCAAGCCGTTCTTATCAATGAGTGCACCTAAATATTTAATTTTTCACTTGTTTGATTTCCATCCTGTCTATCAATACTTCAACTTCATCTGAATTGGTAACTAAATATTCTGTTTTCTTCATGCTGACTTATAACTCCATTTTACATATTCTCTGTATAGACGCTTTATCATAAATTCTAGATCATAAGAATCTTGAGCTAGGACGACTTGGTGATCCGCAAAGTTCAGGGAGACGTCAGGGAGTACGTCATTTCCTATGGGGATTCCCATTCCCTGGCAGTGGTTTTTCCAATTTTGGAGGGCTGCCTCAATATATAAATAAAATAGTAAGGGTGACATACTGCATCCTTGTCTTAGTCCTTTAGTTACTTTTATTGGCTCGATAGTCTACTTCCGATTTTTAGGTAAGTAAGTATTACTCGCAAAATTATTCCTGGAAACCAACCCTATCAACCACAAGCATGCCTACTTGCTTTACCAAAACTGCTATTTTTGTACTTAGTTATACTCTTTTATCTAAATCTCAGGCTTGTCGGTCTGTTAATTAGATTTAATCTCGAAAAGGCGAAGCAAAAGAGAAAATATACAAAAATTCATAGTACACGTAATAATCACTAAAATTATTATGTATCGAATAAGACTAGGAAAATTAATCATCATTCAGGCATTAGATCAATGCTTAACAGTTTGTAATCTTTTCTTGGCTTCTAGATTTGCTGATTGTAGGATTAATAATAAAAATAGTAGTTTTGTACGAGTAGTATGCTAAAAGAATTACTAGAAACCAGAAAAGATTAAATAAAGTATCCGCAAAAGATAAAAGGCCATGTAAGTGCACTTTTATCTTTTGTTGATTTAAATAAAATAAAAAATGCACTTACATGCTTTTTACAGGTTTGTTAGGTTAACTTCTGTTGCCTAAAAATTAGTTTATATTGTTTACTTTTTGCCTCAAATAGTATTTATGAAGTACTTACCACATACATATTGCCAGTTAGTGTATATTTAATTTCGCAAAAGTAAGTTAACAGTGACAATTTACAAAATGTTCCGTGTAACCAAGTGAAAATTACATCATTATTGTCTCTAGCCTCTACAATAATATTTATTTCGATAGATTTCAATCGTTTCCAGTCCTTGTTTTTTTTTTTGTAAACGGTAATTATTTATGAGACTGTCATCATCCTAATAATCAAGTTTGCTCCAAGCAGAAACATTTTTAATTTTAGAGATAATTGATATTTGCACTTAAAATCTTCTGTGAAAAACAAAACGATTTCGAAGGTATTCTAATTCTGTCCAAGTCTGAGTCTAATTTGGACTGATGCTGTTTTGTAAGTACAAAACGAAACGTTTCCTCTAATATATGAAAAAGTTATCATCTTCCTTGTTTCTTTTCTCCTCTCATATAACTGAGATCTCTTCAAGAGCTACAGTGTGAACGGGATTCCACCCCTTTTTATTATTTTATCACTGCTACATATTATATATATATATATATATATATATATATATATATATATATATATATATATATATTATGTATTTATGTATATATTTCAGACAGAATTTATAGTAGGATCACGATTTGTCAGTCTTTGAAATTATATTGTCACCAGCACACTATTGCGATTTATAGATTGTTTTCCATCATCAAACATGCATAGATATATTATATTGTTATATATCCAACGGCACATAAGACGTCTCTACATAACTGGCAGCGTACCAAAAAGTTCATATTCATCTACTCTGATGACTATGAACGAAAACAATTAATTAGGTATTTTTTTTTCATTTTTTATATATTTTTTATAATAATTATATTTTTTAATTATTTATGTTTTTTGCGATACCCAATACATATATTTTAAATACAAATATTTAAAATATCCAGTTATTAGAATGTTTTATTAATTAATAACTAAATTTTCGGATTTATATTCAAAACAGTATATTATACAGTTCCTAAAAACCAAAAGATATAAAAAATTACAATCTTTTATAAACAAAACAAAAATTTTTTACATAGCTTCTACGAAATAACTCTATTTAGATTCCTTTGCTGCCCACTTACTTTTTTCTTTGACAAAAACTCCTCCATTGTCGGTACTCTTGGGGAATCTTGTTCAGGTAGGTTTATAGTTTTTCTCAATGTTTCTTTAGTATCACCTCTTTCTTTGTCGTTAGACATTTTCGGCTTGTTTTTTTCTATGAGCTGGTTACGCCTATACTGGTCCAGATAAATAAGAAACTCCCTGTAAGTGAAGTATGTTTTGTCTGAACCGCTCCAGTTGCGGGGTGGTGGTTCTTGAAGTCCGAGCACCGCATTCCAGTGCTGGAAGTCATCGTTTTCTTGACCATACCAGTATTTAATGATGACATAACTAAAAATTATATAAACGTATTTAAATAGATACGTTGTCAGTTATTTTCAAATAAGTTAAAGATCAACCCGAATGTAGCAATTGCAGCATTAAATAATCTACTGTACATTTATTCGAAAAATACACGATATATTAAAAAATTCAGAAGCAAATTGTTTTAATACCCAAATCACGTTGAATTTTTGTGATAATATTTGGGTAAATTTAAAATAGTTTAGTAGGCCTCAATTGTCATAATTTGTTCTTTGTTTTTATAGTTTAAACTCTGATGAAGTCTATAAACATAGATGAAATAATATATATATATATATATATATATATATTATATATATATATATATATATACATATATATATATATATATGTTCCGAAAGATTTCTGCGCAATAATAATTGACGCGGTAAAACCGCGTCAATTATTATTGCGCTGAGCTTTCGATATTCTCTTCGATGTCTTCTTCAGGGCTTCCGAGGTCTCAATCTCCCGAGCTCCCATACACTACCACACTGATCACTTGCTGGAAATAGAAGACGGAGTGTTTTGGAATATTTTATTCGCCTTTACGGGGAGGAATTTTACCAGCTAACTAAATCATACAGCAAACTGCTGTTACGCAAGAATCGTCTTCTTTGTGATTTTACATTCCTTAAACCTGTCGAGACCATAAGGTCATTACCAAATTTTTAAAACTTAAACACTATACTTCTTCTTCTTCTATCTCCCAAATTCCTAGACATACCAGTTTTGCGCTTCTCCTTGAAGCAATTCATTCCACTAGACGTAAACAAATATCACAAATGTCAGTATTTTTAATAACTGGTCATCTATTCATTCTTTCGATGTACATCCTCGATTATGGAACAGTTTCGACCGTATCAACACTCAACACACAGACAGCCCTAAACACTTTCGAATGTAAGACTGAAACTCCCAAGCGCAAATTAGCGCATTTAATTGTAGAATAAATTCCAAAAACCACAACGTTGAAACCCACTACAGTGGTTCATAACTTTTTTGATACTCCAATTTCGACCAATGCCACTCAAGGTTTAGCAAAAGGTTTCAATTACTATGTTACCCAAAGTCACATTCCAATTGACACAATCATCTGTTAAACTAAAGAAGCCATCTCAGTTTACCTTCCGAAGATGCTGCATTAACTAAACAAGACATCGCTAGAGTTCTTAGAAATTTAAAGCATCCTACTCCGAACATTAACCTATCCGAGGAAAAAACCCTAAAAGAACATCGGTCAAATCCAAAACTAGACATTCTTTTGACCATAAAGGCAATGCCACCGTCATCCTAAATACTTCTTCTTATATTAATTAACTTTGAAATATCAGTAATACTCCAGACTACAGACTAATTTCTAATAATCTAATAACCTATTTGGAGAAAACAACAAAAGCCGTTATCAATAAAATATCTCTTTCTGTTGACATAAAACAATCTTAATTCCTCGTGAAAAATCTTCTAGAACACCTCGAATATATAGCCTACCCAAAATTCACAAACCCGATATTCGTATACGTCCCATTCTTAGTGCTTACAACTGTCCTACACAACCATTTTCCAAGAACTTGGCCAAAACTCTACAACCTCACATCAAAAATGCTTCATCCTTCGTCAAAAATTCATCGAACTTCTTAAAAAATACCCTATTTTACCGTCAGACATTCTAGTAAGTTTCGATATTGTTTCACTCTTTACAAACATTCCTATAGATGAAACTAATCAATCTGAAAACTAAATACAGCGTCCAGCAATACCGGTTATCTCTCATTAAATACTGTATGTGCAACACTTATTTCATCTTCCAAAATCAATTCTACAGATGAATAAATGGTGCCTCAATAGGCTCCCCACTATCTGCAGTAATTGCCAATATCTTTATGAAGGACTTTGAGACCCGAGCACCATCCACATTAATGATCAAACCTTCATGTTGGCTACGAAATGTTGACGATACAAGAGTTATTTAGTCCCATGGCAGAGATGCTTTGGTGTCTTTTCGAGCCCATTTGAATTATATATATCCAGTTCACGATGGAGGTGGAAACTGATTTATCCCTACCATTTCTTGACGTAATTATAAAAAACCAATCCCAAGGTTTTCATCAATCCCGGACAGGGGGAGATTGGTTTTTTTGCGGTTTCCCAATCTCACTACTAAATGATACCTGTCCGTCCCTGAGAAAATAGCCGCAACTATTTTCTCACCTGATCCGACAGCTGCAAGTACCGTCTGTCGAACTCCTTGAAACCTCACCGTTAGCGGACACGAACAACAACCGCGAGATTTTGGTGCAATACACTAGTCTCGTGTTGTTTGTGAACGCATGAACGACGCTGGAACAAAGGACATTAGTGAAACGGTTCGGGCTACTGTCGGATCAGTACACTGATATTCACACACACATACATTCACTCACACATACACACAACTCTACATTCCAACAGTGAAAGTGGGTCCTCTTTCATGCTACCGATGCACCCTCACCCTCGGGACCCCCGACCGCCTGCAGCCCCCGTTACTTTACACGGCATCTGTGGGCGGCCGGGGAGAATCTAGACGGTTCGGGGAGTCTGTAACACCGAAATGGTAGCGTCCGTCACTGTTGGAATTCACTTACATTCACACTGAGCAAAGTGCGACAAGCCGACTCTCGAAAGCCGAGGCGCCTTCACTCACGAGCACACACGTCCACGAAATTTCAGTGCAATACACTGGTTACGAGGACGGGTTAAGCCCGAGACTGCACAGGACCAATGGTCACTAGAGACCCGGCCTTGTCGTACCTAGCTCAAAAACACACAAAGGACAAACTGAAAAGACAAAACTCACAACAAACCCTTCTCTCTGATTCTCTGGCTCTCCGAAGTCAACTCCTCCAGGTGAAAAAGGTGCCACAACACCAGAAGAAGACGGAGATCTTTGCGTTGGTGGTTTCCGGGCGTTTGCCTTTGTACGAACATCAACAAAACATTCAACTCTAATCTGAAGGGGGTCAACCGACCCTAAACGGGCACAAATCATTCTTCCCTCGAAATAAAGATATTCCTTAACCCTTCCCTAAAGAATGAACGCTGTCTATCTATGTTTTCATCAATATGTTTATCGAAAACTCACCCACACTAATTGCTACTTGCATGCCAACTCTCATTATCCAGATTTACAAATTATTTCAGTCACTAATACCCTTGTCTCCAGATCAATACGCCTTGATGATGCTAGTAGACCCGCTGAGCTCTCTAGTTTAAAACAAGCCCTTATTCAAAACAGTTACCGCAAAAATGACATCAATAGGAGCATCCACAGACATCAATCTCCCACTCAATCTCAACCTAAAGACTTAGATAATACATAAAGACAATATTTACCACCCAACAAAAACTTTCATTTCTTGTTTGATCAATTAAAGACAACATTCCAAATGAACAACACTAACTTTATAAAATTCCTTGTGCAGACTGCCCCCGATCCTATATAGGCCAAACAAATTGTAGAATCCAAAATGGAATTTATGAACATTCCATTACTGTTCGAATTTCCGACTCAATTTCAGCTCCAGGTCAACACCATCTTCATACAGAAGACAGATTGGGAGACTGAGACCTCGGAAGCCCTGAAGAAGACATAGAAGAGGATGTCGAAAGCTCGGCGCAATGATAATCGACGCAGTTCAACTCGGAAGACTGTTGAGTTTAATATTAATTCCAGTAATAGTAATAATCGTAGTTCTAGGTTTAATTGTACTAATGGCGAAAATCTTTTGGAACACACATTAATCTCATTAATAAATTTTAGCATTATTAGGTCACCAATCGTTCTTAAAACACAAATTAACCCAATCCCTTTGCTTTGTTAATTAATAATACAAAAATTCCTTTAATAGTGATGTTATAATTATGTCTCAATTATATAGAGAGTTTAGGCATATATTACACATTTTAAAGTTTCTTTTAATCTAGACGGCAGATGCAGATGCGTAATGATTATGAACGTTTCTGTTCTTTCAGGTATCTTATTGCTCTTTTTACACACACACTCTCTCTCTCTCTTTTTTTTTTTCTTTTTTCCCAACAACACATCTCAAATTCACTATTATATGGTTAAAACAAAGTAATGTTTGTCATTTGTTACTGACACCTAGTAATACCTTGACGTTTTATAATGTTTTTTGGTGCGTAGATATGATTTTTTAAAGCTACCAGGCTAAAACCCCGTTAGATAATTTGTTATTTTACGAAAATGAAAATTGTACAAAATGAAAATATTTTTAATCAGTATATTTTGGTTACTGTTATGGTAGATCGGGCCATCCGCCAATCCAAGCAAATAAAGGTGCCACCTGAGTCGATAGTTGCCGGTAAGCATATTGATTACCAGAGAGCATCTTATACGGTCTAGAAGTGAAGTTGTGGGCTGTAAGACTTTGGGATAAGCCCACTATGTAGAGCCTAGTCTGTCTCATACCTCCACAACTAGCCCAGGAGTCCTGGAACTTGCGCAGAAGAAGCTCCTTGAGACTACCCCAACCAGTACTGAAGGGCGATCCAATCACAGATTCGGGTCTCACAGGCAGAGCAAAATCAGTAAGTGTTCTTTTATACTTAAGAAGCAGTTTAGAGCTAACTTGGGCACTAAAAAAGTGCTTAACGCTGCTTAAGTGTCAGAGTAGATAGAAATGGCCCTGTCTGAGCAAGCCCTACCTATTATCTCCTTAGCACATACTAAAATGGCAAAGATCTCGGCAAACAGTATTTTTGGTATTTTTTACTTTATACTCCTTTATTTGTATAAAATGTGTGACTTTTAAGTGGCTCTTGTAACTTTAAAGTTGACGTGTGAAAAAAAAACTGAGTTTTTTTATTCCGAAATCAAAAATTCGTTACAAACAAGTAACAGTTTTAAAACAACGAAATGCTTGACCAGGAGTATTATGTACAAGAGTGTTATTCTAGCTATATAGAAAATAATTATAAATTGAATTAGG